CCTCCAGCCCCTACACCCCCTCCCTATCTCTGTCACCTCCTCCAGCCCCTACACCCCCTCCCTATCTCTGTAACATCCTCCAGCATCGCTCCTCCAGTTGTGCACGCTCCTCATTCGTTGCAGACATACTGTCGTCTGCCTGGCACCCCCCCCAGCTTCATCCTTCTCTCTCCCCTTTAAAAACCGACCCCTTTGAGCAATGGGCGAGTGGGGCCCTGGAGACTGTGGATGTGCAAGAAGCAGGAGATGCAGGAGTGTTGGTGCCTGTTTAGGCTGGAAGAGGCTGAGGAAGAATGTTATTATAACTGAGGCATGGGGGGGAAGACAAATGCTGTGCAGATAGATGGGCACTGGGATTGTGGGTGAATAGTTGTGGAGGTGGATGGGTAGATTGTACTTGCTGCTTCGGGTATTTGGAGGGGGTCTGTGCCGCAGGGAGCGCTGATCAAAGTTATTGCCAAAGGTAATCACAACTGGACTCCTCTTGACTCAAGTCTTTCTGTTCCCTCAGAGTCTGCACCTGGCAAAAAGAGCCCAGCTTCTGTGAGAAAACTGGATCGTGGTGGAGGCACTGGCGAGGGCCCAGTGAACAATGTGAAGGTAAATCCCACCATTGTTTCTAGCTATTCCGCACTGAGTGCCATCGCCAATGGATACACTGCTTACTCCATATTTGTTTTGGGTCGATTTTTGTCACTCGTTCTGGCTGCTATTGAGCACGGAAACCCCAGAAAGCCCAAACCAACTCTTTGTTTGTGTTCGCCCCGATCCTCTGCCCCATCTCCTGCAAATTTTCCCCCTTTCACGTATTTATCCAATTCCCTTCTGACAATTACAGTTCCCCTCCTCGCCCCTTCAGGTAGTGTGTTCCAGATCCCAACAATTCCCTGAAAATAGAGATTCTGTTGGTCATCTCTCCTCCTGTTCTGTTGCCAGTGAACCACTGAATCCTCCAGTCGTGAACTCTCCAAAACAGTTTCTCTTGATTCGTTCGAACGAAAGCCCTTGCTAATTTTGACCAAACCCCTTTTAAGTTTCCTCCTAACCTTTCCAGTTCTCAGGACAACACCCTCAGCTTCTCCATTCTGCCTGCCTAAACTGAAGTTCCTCATCTCGGATGTGGCTTTTTATAAAGAATATGTCAAGAGTTTCTGCTTAGAATGTAACATCAGAGTCGGTATCTCAAACGTAGAGAGAAGCCACTATCTTGTCAACACAAGCTCAGCCTTAGCTGATTTTTTTTTAGTGTCAGAGGTGCTTTCACAGGATGTGGATGTCACTGGCAAAGGCCAGAGTTAGTTACCCTTTCCTAGTGCCCTCGACAAGGTGGCAGTGAGCTGCCCTCTGAGCCGCTGCCCTCTGAGCCACTGCCCTCCGAGCCACTGCCCTCCTCGGGTGTATGCACGCCTACAAAGTGCCGCTGGGGAGCAGGTTCCAGGATTTTGACCCAGCGACACTGAAGGAAAGGCAAGATATTCCCAAATCTGTGTGGTGCGTGGCTTGGAGGGGAGCTTACAGGGTGTGGTGTATCTGTTGCTGTTTTCCTTTTGGTGGTGGGTTATGGGTTTGGAAGGTACTGGACCCACATTCCATATCCCTGCGATGACATAACTGCAATTAACATGCCTTGGGGAAATATAGTTTCTCAAGTTGATCTCATCTCTATACACATACACACACACACACACACACGGACGTGCGCACGTGCACACACACACACTTGCACACACGCACACATACATGCACATGCAAACACGCACATGCACACACACACGCAAACACACACACACATGCAAACACACACACACGAGCACGCACACGCGCACACACACTTGCACACATACACATGCACACAAACACACGTGCGCACATGCTCGTGCACACACACACATGCAAACGTGCACACGCATGCACACATACACATGCGCACACACACACAGGCACACACATGCACACATACACATGCACATACAACATGCGTACACACACATGCGCACACACACACACACATGCAAACACACACACATAGACACACACACACGCGCACACACGCACACACACATGCACACACACACATGTACTTGAGATATCTTATCAGAAATACTCGAATCATCACGCTGATGTTCTCACTGCTGTTCATAGTCATTACTGCAAAGCAGTACTGACTTTTGTGGGCTGCAAAGTTGTTTTTTAGTTAAGCTGTACTGCTTCCTGTACAGGAAGCCACTTCCTCTCTCGTTGTTGATTAATCAATTTCAGTGGAAAATACATAATCTGACTCCAACCCTCAGTAACTGAGAACAGACACCTAAGAATGCAAAAGGGGACCCTTAAACCTAACACCAACCCAATATGACCACCTCACCATTTGCCAGCTGCTCCAAATAAATCCAGGTGTGCGCCAATGTGCCACAACAAATATAGTGAGTAGTCCCAGAGGACCTTGGGCCTGCTCTTTCATTAGAGAGAGAGAGAGAGAGACAGAGAGAGAGAGATGACTGGTGGTGGTTTAACCTGAGGGTCACCACGTCTCAGGAGAGGGGAGAGGTTGATGAAGGAGAGTCCTTCATGGGTAACCTCAACTGGTGATAGGAATTCAACCTACACTGTTGGCATCACTCTGCATCACAAACCAGCTATTCAAGCTGACTGACCCCCTCCCAAAAATAGGACACATTTAAAGAGCTAATCAATGCAAAACCGAAAATGCCAGTGATCAATCTGGAGCTGCACCAATATTAGAAGAAGTCCTAATCTTCTCCTGAAGCAAAACTAGAGGGCACAGGTTTAAGGTTAGAGGGGAAAGAATTAAATGGGGCAACTTTTTCACGCAGAGGATGGTGTGTGTATGGAATGAGCTGCGAGAGGAAGTGGTGGAGGCTGGTACAATTACAACATTTAAAAAGCATCTGGATGGGTATACGAATAGGAAGGGTTTAGAGAGATATGGGCCAAAAGCTGGCAAATGGGATCAGATTTATGTAGGATATCTGGTCAGCGCGGACGAGCTGAGCTGAAGGGTTTGTTTCTGTGCTGTATATCTCTATGCCTGTATGCCTCTATGAGCAGCTATTCAGTCAGGAACACTATCACTGTCTCCCCAGAGCATCCTTACAGACATCAACACGCTCCTGGCAGCCCCCACAAAAAATTGATACACTTCCCAGACCCCAGAAAATATTACCTGACTCTTTCCCTCTCGCTCTCTTACTCTCTTTCTTTTCTCCCTTTTTCTTTCTCCTCTTTCACCCCATTTTCTTCCCCTTTCTCCTTCTCTCTCTCCTTCTTTCTCTTTTCCAATCTTTCCATCAAAGGGTTCCAGGTCTGAAGGTCTCTGCTCTCTCAGTAGGCAGTACCTTATCCCCCAATTCTGTTCATTACCACAGTGCGGAAGACTGAAGGCTTTCTGTTCCTCTTAGAGCGATGTGTGGTTAGTCCAGCCTCATGGAATTGACACTGTTCACTCCTGCTCTAGAACCTGATCATCCGAAGATTGAAGAGGAAAAATCAAAATCACCAAGAAACACCACAGTCTCCAAATGACAAAAGCTGCAGGTAGGGTGAAGGGTCTTAGACCTTATCTCTACTTAATATCATCAAGAAACACTCCGAACTCAGGTACAGGGTGAGCTGGAGATAGAGACATTTCCCTTTTAGTCACAGAAACCTGATACTTTCAGTCCAATTTCTGAACCACACTTTGTAGTCCAATAAATGTGACTCCCTTAAACTTTCTCTGAACAAGACTTCCAGCTCTGTATAACAGGTAGAATGCAACTCCTGGGCATTGGGGGTTAAACCCTTTCCTGAGATTTTCTTCAACTCTCATCACATTGTTCTGTAGCGCCACATTTATTGCCCCTCATGAGATCATTAGGAGTCGGAGCTAGGGGAGGCCATTTGGCCCCTCCACCCTGCTCTGCCACTGGATAAGGTCATGGCTGATCTGTTTGGTGTCTTGACTCCACAGTCCTCTCTGCCCCCTCCCCCCCACCATAAGCTTTGACTCTCTCGTCAATCAGAAGTCTGTCTAACCTAGCATTGGATATATTTGATGACACTCACTGTGGAAGGAAATTGCACCATCGATCTCTGACGGAAGAAATTCCTCCTGAGCTCCCACCTTAATTGGGGAGACCTCTGGAATTGTGAACAGTGATCCCCGTGTGCTATAATCACCCGCGTGGTGGGGAATGTACTCACTTCTGTAACGGACACAGTTTTAAACACTCTCTCAATTAGGGGTCATTTGTTGGCTTCACTACCCTGGCCAGGAGCCCTATCTGCAGGCCAGAGGCAATGAACACTTGGCTGTTTGACCAAGCAGTGCTTCAGGCAAGGCCTGGGTACCATGGCCGTGTTTAGCGATATAGTTAATGGGCAAAGCCCTCTGGATAACTGACCTAGATTTTGCAGCCAGTTTAAGGGTACAAAAACAGAAGTTGCTGGAAAACCCCAGCAGGTCTGGCAGCATCTGTGAAGGCAAAAACAGAGTTAACGTTTCGGGTCTGGTGACCCTTTAAGGGTAGCTTGCCTTTGTAAATCCCACAGCAAACTGCGAGGTACCTGCCGAAATGTGAGATAACACAAGTTGTCTGACAGTTTGCACCACTCAACTGTTAGCCTTGTGAAAATGGCAGCTCACCCTGAACCTCTCCAGGGGTTTTGTGGAATTGCTACACGTGAACATTAATTACGCACCAAACTCATGACTGAAATAAAGGTGTGGAACTGAATAACCTCAGTACCTTTTGAATGATAGTTACATTTCTGCAACGTCTCCCACCCAGAAAGGGAACATTTTAAATCATGGAAGCTTATTCCTACAGATGGTAAATTGTTAAAGATTTTAAAAGTATTTTCCTACTTTTCTTTCTGTCTCTGTTTTGTCTCTCACCCTTAATCCAATCTTTCTTGCCCCTTCTGCACCTAATTCGATTGTAATTCCTCCTATTTTTCCTCTGTGCTAATATCTGGTTGACCACATTGCTAAATTTTGTTAATATTAAGGTTAAATTTGAGAAAAACAGGTAGTGGATATTAATGATCTTTCAGCACATATAAATGGGTTAAGAGCTGGGAAATTGAACAAGCCAATAAACTGGGTTCTGAGGAAGGGTCACCGGACCCGAAACGTTAACTCTGATTTCTCTTCACAGATGCTGCCACAGGCCTGCTGAGCTTTTCCAGCAACTTCTGTTATTGTTGTAGTTGATGTCAATAAACTTGCTTCACAAAGTTGCCTGCCTTTCTTTCTGTCTCAGTAGCTAGCCCAGATTCTCGGACCATCGTGTTTCTTTATTGATGCCTGATTTATGTAGAAGAGAAATCATCCAGGGGTTGTGGATTTTATTGTTCCAAATTTCCAGTGAGAAATGGGGATCTTCCTTCTTAAACACTGTAGCTCATTCATTATAGGGACCCCCCAGAGTGCTGTTAGGGAGAGATTTCCAGGAGCTGGTCCCAGTCACACCAGCGATATATTTCCACATTAGGATGGTGAGTGGCTTGGGGGCGACCTTGCTGGGGTGGGTGTACCTTGTAGATGGGAGACTGGCTTTGGGAAACTGGCAGGAGAGTGACTCACTGCAAGATTCCAAGCCTCTGACCTGCTATTGTAGCCATTGTATCCATATGACTAGCCCACCTCAGTTTCTGAACTGTTGGTTCCATTGCTAAGCAAAATCCCAGATGTGGTAGAGGCAGGTACAGTTACCACATTTGAAAGACATTTGGACAGGTACATGGATAGGAAAGGTTTGGAGAGATATGGGCCAAACGTAGGCAAGTGGGACCAGTTCAGTTTAGAAAACCTGGTCAGCATGTTGGGCCAAAGGGTCTGTTTCTATGCTGTATATCGTGGTGACTCCATGTCCCATTACCTCCACAGCTCTGTTATCAGTGAGTCTAGGAGCAAAGTAGTTTTGAGTTGAAAGGCATGTTAAGTATCCTAAACTTACAAGCTGTGCCACGAGATGCAGAATGGTAAATAATGATAATTGTCCACTCTCTGATTTTCTCTCATTCTAACCTTCTTCTTCCTGCTGTTTCCCTGGGCACATCAGTGGGTGGAGTTTGACTGGAGCTGTCTCCCATGAATCCCTGACAGAATCCTTGAGCCCGATAGAAACTCTCGATCTGTCTAATGAGACAAATGTGATCATCAGGCCGCTCCACAGTAGTATCCTGGGAGAGAGATACTGCTTTGAGGTAATGTGTGTGTGTGTGTTTGTGTGTGTGTGTGTGAGAGAGAGTGTCTTTGTGTGTCTGTCTGTGTCTATGTGTGTATGTGTCTATCTGTGTGTGTGTGTATATGTGTGCGCACACGTGTGTGTGTGTGTGAGAGAGAGTGTGTTTGTGTGTGTGTGAGAGAGAGAGTGTGTGTGCGTGTGTGTGTGAGAGATAGAGTGTGGTTGTGTGTGTGTGAGAGAGAGTGTGTTTGTGTGTGTGTGTGTGAGAGAGAGTGCGTTTGTGTGTGTGTGTGTGAGAGAGAGTGCGTTTGTGTGTGTGTGTGTGAGAGAGAGTGTGTTTGTGTGTGTGTGTGTGTGTGAGAGAGAGAGAGAGTGTGTTTGTGTGTGTGTGTGTGTGAGAGAGAGAGTGTGTTTGTGTATCTGTCTGTGTCTATGTGTGTATGTGTCTATCTGTGTGTGTGTGTGTGTGTGTGTGTGTATGTGAGTGTGTGCGAGAGAGTGTGTCTGTGTGAGTGTGTGTGTCTATCTGTCTGTGAGGGAGGTTTGTGTGTGTGTTAGTGACAGAGAGTGGAGTTTGTGTGTGTGAGAGAAAGTGAGGCTTGTGTGTGTCTATGTGAGTGAGGTTTTTGTGTGTGTGTGTTTCTGTTAGTGACAGAGAGTGCAGTTTGTGTACGTCTGTGTGTGTGAGTGAGAGAGAGGTTTGTGTGTCTATGAGAAAGAGATTTATGTGTGTGTGTGTGTGTGAATGAATGAGAAAAAGTGGGGTTTGAGTGTCTGTGTGAGAGAGGGAGAGATTTGTGTATATGTGTGTGAGTGAGAGTGGGGTTAGTGTGCGTTTGTGTGAGAGAGAGGTTTGTTTGTGTGTGTCTGTGTGTCTGTGTCTTGATGATTTATTGATTTATTGTCACATATATCTTGAATATACAGTGAAAAGAGTTTTGTCACCACAATCCAGTGCCATTTTGTGGTATAATAAGGATAAAACAAAATTACTTCAATAAGCGTTAATCTTCTGTTCAAATGCGCGCGCACAGGGCCAGAAACATTCCCATGGTTTGACTTCAGAACACTGCTTGCCAATTGGGCGCATGGGCTGTCTCTGCAGCTGCTATTGGGTAAAGGCTGGAAGCTTTTGTTAAGAGGGACATGCAGCGTTGGTTAGTGGCTAGCCCCTGCACGGGACCTGTCACAGGCCAGTGCAAACATCATTGTTTCTGAGCTGGGTTCAAATCCCACTCCAGGACCTGATGAGCAGAGAAGGTGCGATCAACCTGACCGAGTTGATGATTGGCCTCTGAAATCCTTCAGACGCCACATTTTAAGGAGGTAAGAGCAGGGCTGTGGGGGTTTTCCTGGTTGGCCATACCTGATGTGGAGTGGTGCCCTGGAAGCTATAGCCTCCAGTAACCTGCTTCTCTTGTCAGTGGGAAAACCAACTATAGAAACAGCATGGAAAGAAACATGTATCTCACGTGCCACAAGGTCTGGAAGAAAATGACGGAAGGATACCGCGACAGAAGGACCAATTTCACCATCTTCTCATGAGGAGTTTTGAGGAAAAGTGGCCGAGGGAGGGACTTGCAGGAGTGGTATTCCCCTAATGCAACTTGGAATTGAGCCGCTGATTTGTTTTGTGGGATTGAACGTTGATTTCTCAGGGGCATCAGTTCCCAGTGAGGTCTCATGTGCCACCAGTTGCTCAGACACTCCAACCCTTTGTGTTTCAGGTGATTAATTCCCGAGGAAGCCGCTGCTTTGGTTGCACATCTGCTGCCGAGAGAGACAAATGGATAGAGAATCTTCTTCGAACGGTCCAGCCCAACAAGGTGGGAGGCAGTGGACTGTTCTGGGGGTGGGGGTGGGGTTGGGAGGGGTTGGGATCAATTACAACCACCAGAACTAACATAGCAATGTTCACAGTGAACCTACCCTGTGCTACTCCAATGTGATACAGCTGACAGCTACTTTACAAGGGTAGTTCAGGGCAGGCAATCTGGGCAGAGTGTAGAAGAAACACAAGTATATGTGTGTATGGATTAGGAGCAGAAGTAGATCATTTGGCCCCTTCAAGGCTGGTCTACCATTCAATAAGATCATGGCTGATCTGTTTATGTTCCAAATCCCACATTCTCATATGTCCCAATAACTCTCAATTCCCCCTGCCAAACCAGAATCCGCCTTAAACATACTCAATGACCTTCTGCAGCAGAGAGCTCCAAAAATCACACGCCCCCTCCGACAGGAAGAATGGTTTTGATGGGTTGAATCGTCCCCACTCTTGGTCCTTCTATGTTCTCAAATGTTAAGTTTTTTTTATTCATTCATGGGATGTGGGAGTCGTTGGCTGGGCCAGCATTTATTGCACATCCCTAATTGCCCCTTGTGAAAGTGGGGGATGAGCTGCCTTCTTCACCCATTGCAGCCTGTATGCTGTAGGTTGACCCACAATGCCCTTAGTGGGGCAGATCCAGGATTTTGACCCAGCGACAGTGAAGGAACAGCGATATATTTCCAAGTCGGGATGGTGAGTGGCTTGAAGGGGAACTTGCAGGGGGTGACGTTCCCATATATCTGCTGCCCCTGACTTTCTAGATGGAAGTGGCTGTGGGTGTGGAAAGTGGGAAAGATCTTTGGTGAATTTCTGCAGTGCATCTTGTAGATAGTACACACTGCTGCTACTGAGCGTCGGTGGTGGAAGGAGTGGATGCTTGTGGATGTGATGCCAATCAAGCGGCTGCTTTGTCCTGGATGGTGCCAAGCTTCTTGAGTGTTGTTGGAGCTGCACCCATCCAGGCAAGTGGGGAGTATTCCATCACACTCCTTGTGCCTTGTACATGGTGGACAAGCTTTGGGTAGTCAGGAGGTGAGTTACTCACCTCTGTATTCCTAGCTTATGACCTGATCTTGTGCCACCAGTCGCTCAGACACTCCAACACTTTGTGTTTCAGGTGATGAGCATTGCCTGGGTGCGCGAGGTTGGGGGAAGGTGCTACCAAAATGCAGGCTGCCTCGATTGTCGACCTGATCACTTTATCACTCATAAATCATTGTGGCTAGGATAGTGTCAGTAGAACAAATTTATTTAATTGTTCCCTGGTTCCCTGAGTTACCATTGGGAAATATTAAAATGTAATGACCCAAATTCCAATGATCATTCGATATTTATTAAGCGCGTTGCTATAATGAGACGCTACCTTGTGCCTTGTTCATTGTAGAGAAGCTGTTTCAGCTTGTGCAGGGGAGTCAGAAATTTAGGATGATCAATAGGAATAGCCCAACCGGAAATTCAGGAGAAAGTTTTTAACCCAGAAAGTGGTGAGAACGTGCATTGTTCTCCCTCAGTGTGTGGTGGAAGTGTCATCATAGAGTCATACAGCACGGAAACAGACCCTTCGGTCCAACCAGTTCATGCTGAACATGATCCCAAGCTAATCTAGTCCCACCTGCCTGCTCCTGGCCCATATCCCTCCAAACCTTTGCTATTCATGTACTTATCCAAATGTCTTTTAAACGTTGTAACTGTACCCACATCCACTACTTTGTCTGAAAGTTCATTCCACACACATGAACCACCCAGTGTGTTACGAAGAATCTGGATAAGCACAAGGGAGAAAGGATAGAGGGATATGTAGGTGCAGTGAGATGTGGCAGTGTGGAGGGAGGTTCCTGTGAGGCAGAAGGTCCAGCATGGTCTGGATGGGTTGAATGGCCTGAACCTTCCATGTTAATTCCATGAATAGACTGTCATTGGATGATGAGCATTGCCTGGGTGCGCGAGGGTGGGGGGAGGTGCTACCAAAATGCCAGCTGCCTCGATTGTCAGCCTTTTGTGAACGCCTGTTGCATTGTCTTTGGCAGGATAACTGCGAGCGGGTGGAGAACATGCTGAGCCTCTGGGTGAATGAAGCCAAGGATCTGACCCCCAGGAAGAAGTACTTCTGTGAACTGCACCTTGATGGCTCACTGTACGCACGCACCACCAGCAAGCTCAGCCAGGAGGAGCTGTTCTGGGGCGAACACTTTGAGTTCAGCAACCTGCCCCCGACAAAGGAGGTCACCTTGCACCTTTTCCGAGACGAGGACAAGAAGAGGAAAGAGATGACTACCCTTGGCTCTGTCACCATCCCTCTCGCCGAGGTAACCGGCCGCCAACATGTCGAGAAATGGTACAACATCAACATGCCACCGCTGAACAAGGGCAAGGTCATTGTGCCAACCATCCGCATTAACCTGCGCTACCAGAACATCAAGGTCCTGCCAATGATACACTACAAGGAGTTTGCAGAGTACCTCATCTGTAACTACACCACCCTGTGCTCTGTGCTGGAGCCAGCTCTGAAGGTGAAAGATAAGGAGGAGGTGGCCTCTGCTCTGGTCCATGTCCTACAGAGTGTCGGAAAAGCCAAGGTATGAATCATAGAATCCCTACACTGCGGAAAGAGGTCGTTCAGCCTGTCGAGTCTGTACTGGCCCTCCGAAGTGCATCCCACCCTGTTACCCTGCATTTCCAATCCACCCTAACCCACACATCTTTTGGGCTGTGGGAGGAAACCGGAGTGAACCCACGCAGACACGGGGGAGAATGTGCAAACCCCACACAGACAGTCACCCGAGGCTGGGATTGAACCCCTGGTGCTGTGAGGCAGCAGTGCTAACTACTGAGCCACCATTACTCTCCCTGGGCTCCTGTCATCCCTTGACCAGACTGGACTTGTCACTAGTGGGAAGATCTCGGGATAACTGCACAATCGGAAGACCTGCACCAGTCTAGCGGCTTTCTGTTAGCTCCGTCAGCTCCCTGGCCTGGTTTGTACAATGGCTTGATGCCATGAGCATGGGTTCAATTCCCTGTACCGGCTGAGGTCACTGCAGCCCTTGCCTGAGCTGTGCTTAACCCTGTTGCTAGCCGTCTCTCCTTTTAATGAGAGGGAGCAGACTTGGGGTTCTCTGGGGTTCCTAACCTCACAGAGAGTACAGGGGCTAATTAATTCCCTGGTCAGGCCACTAAGGAAGGATTCGCTGGCCATTTCTCTCTCCTTCTGTGTTAAGCACATCCTCTGAATGCCACATCTTAATAAGAGAGGGAACCTTTCAGAATCGCAAGGGGATGGTGGAGTTTTGTTTTGCTGTAATCTGAAAGGTGCTGAAAGACCAGTGGCAGTGGATTCCACTCTAATTTCAGAAAGGAATTGGCTAAACACTTGAAAGGAAGAGTGATTTGGAGGGAGAGGAGTTGGGGAGAGGGTGGGTGGGGAAGAGCAGGAGAGTGGGAGCAGAGGGAGAGGTCATTTGGAGAGCTACCTTATCAACGATGGGCCAAATGGCCACTGTCTGTGCTGTAGTATCCATTTCCCACAGTCTGCACTCTTTACAAATAAGGATTAATTTATGAGGAATATTGTTCAATTTTTTTTTCACAAAGAGCTGCATCGATTCTGGTCAAACCTGTTTCACTCCCCTTCAAAAAGAGTCTGAACTTGGTTTGATCTATGGGCTGAATGATGGAGACTAACAATATTGCTGGGTTCCTCTGTCCCTTCGACTTCATTCTAGACTCGAAACGTTAGCTTGCTTCCTCTCCATGCATGCTGCAGGATGCTGTGATTTCTAGCATCTTTTGTTTTCAGTACAGATTCCACTGTCTGCAATAATTTGCTCCGACCTAATTCCGGGAGTTGGTTGGAACCTTGGATCCCAGATTTTGGAAACCTTGGATTCAAATTTTGAATAAATCACAGTGTGGACTTGTTGGGCCAAAGGGCCTGTTTCTACACTGTAGGGATTCTATGACCTATGATTCCATGAGTTTGATGGTCCCAGTCGAGGGTTTGTGGTTGAGATTGAATTGAGAATTGGACAGAAAGCAATTGGCTCCGAGACACTGAATGCTGGTGTTAAACTGAACATCAATCATATGTCAAAGCCTGTCCTTTTGTTGCTCTGCCCGGCATACTGACTTACCCAGCTCTGAATCGATCCAAATGGTATTGCTCATTCAGAGTGCTAACACAGAGGTGATGGGCAGAGCGTCCTCCCTCTGATGGGACTGGGAGGTTAAACAGTCAATACAGCAGCACAAGGGGTCCAGGCTCGGCTGGATATTGAGGACATGTGACCAGGAAGTGCCAGGAAAAGGAACTGCCCATTTGGTATCCTTCCTGAAGCCTGTGGAGGTGCACGAGTCAGATGGAGGGGGGATGGAATTAGGGTCTACAGACTATAAAAGCAGCTACAGCACCTACTGACCCTAGGACCCTGATGCCGAGTTTAGTCTTATTTGAATGGAATTGGACTCCTATCTGATGGGTTGGTGGTTGTAACTCTTCTGTCCTTGCCATGTAGGACTTTCTGATTGAGTTGGGGATGGTGGAGGTTGACCGTTGTGAGGAGAAACACTCTGTGCTCTTCCGAGAAAACACCTTGGCCACCAAGGCCATTGACGAATACATGAAGCTGGTTGGACAGAAGTATCTGGTGGAAACGCTTGGTAAGATTGAAGGGGGTGTGTGGGGTGAGGGATGTGTGGCACGATTGAAGGGGGTGTGTGGGGTGAGGGATGTGTGGCACGAATGGCCTTCAACTCATGGAGGCTGGGATTGGGCTGCCAGCTCTAGTTGGACTTAATCCTAGAGGCTTCATCAAATACCTATCAGCCCAAACCATCCAAACTTCACCTCATTGGTCCATTGGAAACCCAGTTGGATTTAATGGTTAAACACCCATTATCTATGATACTTTTACAACCAGTAAATTCAAGCATTCAAAGAAAGCTAGGAGAGAAGCAGCAGACAATTCTATTCAGTAGCTTCTAATAATTTTTCCATGTTTAATGATGGGATGGGGGTGTTGCTGGCTGGGCCCAACATTTATTGCCCATCCCTAGTTGCCCCTGAGAAGGTGTTGGTTGAGCTGCCTTCTTGAAGTCCATGATGTGTAGGTTGACCCACCTGGGGAGAGAATTCCAGGATTTTTGACCCAGCGACGTTAAAGAAACGGCGATACATTTCCAAGCCAGGATGGTGAGTGGCTCGGAGGGGAGCTTGCAAGGCAGTGGTGGAATCTCTAACTCCTGGAATCTCCGGGATAATTGTGTGTGGGAGTTTGGCATCTTTGGTTGGGAGCTCTTCAAAGTTACCAACATCCAGAGCCACTTGCCCATCTGGATGCCCGTCCAGAGGTCTGGTAGTATCCAAAAATAGAAGAAATAGTGGCGTAGCGGTCATGTCACTGGACTGGGCATTCAGGCTAATGCTCAAGAGACCAGAGTTCAGATCAGATATGACAGCCAATGAAATTTAGAATCAGTCTGGATCCAGTCTCTGAGATGGTAACCATGACAACCAATACCAACTGCTCTCCAATCCCGTCCGGTTCACTCATGCCCTTTAAGGAGGGAGATTTTCCATCCTTACCCAGTCTGGATTATATGTGACCATTGACCTTAACCACTCCCGAAAATGGCCCAGCATGTTGCTCAGGTCATAGGGCACTTAGGGATGGGCATCAAATGTTGTCGTTGCCAGCAATAGCTGCATCCACTTCAAGAATCATTTAAAACCCTAAAGTTCGAGCTGGAGGAGGAAGAAGGGTGGGGAGGGGGTCAATTCACATCGCCCAAAACATGAAGGGTTGAAAACAAAAAAGCTCATTGAGTGACTGTTCTGGCAAAATTCAAACTGACTTTAGCAGAAAAAATAGGAACGGGAGGTGGCCATTCTACTCCTCAAGCCTGTTGAGATCTTCGGTGGCTATATGACAACCCCCATCTGTCTGGTCTCCGCTCCTTGATGCCTTCACCCAACAAATAATTTATTTTTTTTTTATTTCTGAGCTCCCTACCCCTCCCCAGTCCTGAAGAAGGGTCCCGACTCGAAACGTCGACTCTCCTGCTCCTCTGATGCTGCCTGACCTGCTCCAGCTCCACACTGTATCGACTCCGACTCCAGCATCTGCAGTCCTTACTGTCTCCTAATTCTTGGAGTATTCCAGGTGGCCATCATCATCCGCAGCCCTTTGGAGGAGAGGGTTGCAGATTGGCATCACCCTTTTTGTGAGCTGTGCTTCCCGATTTCACTCCCAATCCACATAACTCAGAATCTCTGCTCGGTTGAGGCTGGATGGACCAATTCGAGCAAGTTGGGCATGACACACCTGCCATCTAGTGGTTTGGTACATCATTACAGGGGAGGCTTACCCATGTTCTCACGAGCACAACACCAACTGAACTATTTTCCCAAACAAGTTCACCTTAACACTTGAAAATTGAAAACGCTTAACGACGACGAAAACAAAACAATAAATCACCATGGTAACATTCGGTGTACAATTATCAAAGTTCTTGTGTTATCTATACAATGTCATGTGTAAATGAAAACTTTTTAAAGTATTTTGTAAAAAAAAATTATTCTTTTATGTACTCACCAGTCTATTACTTCATCTGAGCTGCTCCCGAGCGTAGACCTGTCAGTCGAACGGGAGCTAGAATATCTTGAGGTTTCTGCTGTTGGAATCCAGGTCATTCTGCTCTCCCATCAGATTGGGTTCAGGGTTCAGCTAGGCCGAGGGATGGACACTAGGTTCATTGTCAGGACTGGGCTTTGAGACTCAGTGAACCAGCTGTGGGTAGGTGCCCAGGGCCAACACACATAGAACATTGGAGCCATTCAGCCCATTGAGTCCTCCCCTGCCATTCAACATAATCATGGCTGATCCTTCATCTTCACTGCCATACCCCCAATCTCTCCCCAATACCCTTGCAACCGTTAGCCTCTAGAAATCTACCTCTTCCTTCTTAATTTGGCCTCCACAGCCTTTGTGGTGGGGAATCCCACAGGATCGCCCACCCTCTGAGTGAAAAACTTTCCCCTCATGTCATTCTGAAATGGCCCACCCCATATCCTGAGACCTGGAGTGACCCCTAGTTCTGGACCACAAACCTCAACCCCCCACCTCACCCCCACACCCAGCCCTGCATCTGTCCAAACTTCAGAACCTTTCCATTTTAATCAGATCCCCTCTCGTTCTTCTAAACTCCAGAGAATACAAGCCCAATCTCTCCTCATACATCCCAGGATTCAGTCTGGTAGGCCTTTACTGCACTGCTTCTACAATAAGTGTACCTTATTTTCAGTAAGGAGACCAAAACAGCATGCAGTACTCTGGGTATGGTCTCACCAAAGTCCTGTACAGCTGCAGCAAGACTCAGATATACTGGAACCAATAAAGGCCAACATACAGATTATTTCTAACAGTTTGCTGCAATGACAGAGACTGAAAGAAGAACAGAATAAGAACAGGCCCTGGCACTGCCTGGGCCTCGGGACTAGCACCAAGCCCTCATTTTAGGAGCCTGGAATAACAGAGGGGTGTGGCATTTAGAAACAGGGGAGAAGAGATCTGAAAGTAATAGATCTTCCTGACATCTCTCGCCCCGATTGGAAATCCATCCAGGCTGTAGGTGACAGGTATTGTATTACTGAGGGGTTTAATCTCCTTTAATGTCATTCACAGGAGAATTTGTGACGAGGCTTTACAATCCAGAGGAAAATTATGAAGTTGATCCCAATAAATGTTCAGGCAATGATGTGTCAGAGAATCAAGCCAACATGAAGACTGTCTGTGAAGAGGCCTTTCGGCAAATCATTGATTCCTATTGGTGAGTACATAAAAAACTCAACTGGACCAGCCACATAAACGCAGCGGCTACAAAAGCAGGTCAGAGGCCAGGAATACTGCAATGAGTAACTCACCTCCTGACTCCCCAAAGCCTGTTCGCCATCTACAGGGCACAAGTCAGGAGTGTGATGGAATACTCCCCACTTGCCTGGATGGGGGCAGCTCCAACAACACTCAAGAAGCTTGACACCATCCAGGACATGTCCAACACCTTCAACATTCACTGCCTTCAACACGTATTCTTAGTAGCAGCAGTGACTACTATCCATAAGATGCACTGAGGCTCTCACCTAATGACAGCACCTTCCAAACCTGTGACCTCCGTACCTGAGAAGGGCAAGGGCAGCAGATACGAGGGAACCATCTTTCATTTCCCCTCCAAGCCATTCACCATCCTGACTTGGACATATAGCATCGTTCCTTCAGTGTCCCCGGGATGAAATCCCTCTTTAACAGCACAGTGGGTGTACCTACACCACAAGAGATGCAGCGGTCCAAGGAGACAGCTCGCTGCCACCTTCTCAAGTAAGATTAAAAATGGGAAACATGTTGCCCTTACTAGCAACACTCACTTCCTGTGAATGAATATAAAGAGCAAAAACAGAGGATAGCAGGAGGAAGGATGGCTCCTTCAGCCTATGTTACAACAGGATCATTGTTGATCCTCTGTCCCAGCCACGCTTGATCCCCGGAATCTATTAACTGCTTTAATGTCCAAGAATCTACTGAACTCATTTTTAAACATTGCTCAGAATCCCCAGACTTCTGGGATCGATGATTCCGGAGATCACAAATCCTCCTTTCTGAGAGATTACTCCTTATCTCTATCTGAAATACCCAATCCCATGTCTTGTAAACATAACACCCTAAATGTAGAATCTCAGAATTCTGTCTGACTTGCTTCCATTAAGCATGAAGCAACCAATGGTCACACCCCATGAACTGATTTTTAAAAACAAAAACTCCTGAGGCTTTTCTGGGGATGTGTGAGAATGGGTGATGTTAAGCCTCTGCTTCCCCAGGAGGCTAAGGAAATTCGGCACGTCCATAAAGACTCATATCAATTGTTATAGAGGCGCCATGGAAAGCATTCTATCCAGATGAATCATGGCTTGGTACAGCTTGCTCTGCCCAGGACAGTAAGAAACTACAGAGGGTTGTGAACACAGCCCAGACCATCAGGCAAACCAACCTCCCTTCCATTGACTCCATCTGTACTTCTCACTGCCGCAGGAAGGCAGGCAACATCATCAAAGACCCCTCCCACCCTGGTTATAATCTCTTCCACCCTCTTCCGTCAGGCAGAAGATACAAAAGCTTAAACACACGTACCAACAGATTCAAGAACAGCTTCTTCCCCACTGTTATTGGACTTCTGAATAGACCTCTCACGTTTTAAATTAATTGTTGATCTTGCTCCTTGTGCACCTTCTCTGCAGTCATTACATTGTATTCCTCGCTCTGTTCTATTACCCTAATGCGCTTTGTATGGTATGATCTGCCTGTAAAACTGCATGCAAAACAAAACTCTACACTGTACCTAGGTACATGTGACAATAATAAATCAAATAAACAGTTTGATTCCAGGTGTGCCAGGATTCACCCTGAATTTGTACAAGTGAATGTTTCTTCTACTTTCCTTGTTCTTTCGTTTCACAGCATCTTTCCAGACGAGCTGAGGGAGATATTTGCAACTTGGCAGCAACAATGTTTGAGTCGAGGGAAAGCAGAGATTGGGATGAGGATGATCTGTGCCTCGCTGTTTCTGCGATTTCTCTGCCCTGCGATAATGTCACCCAGCCTATTCAATCTGACCCAGGAATATCCCAACGACAGCACCGCACGGACTCTCACACTCATCGCTAAAGTCATTCAGAACCTGGCCAACTTTACCACGTATGTACGCCATCGGGCTAACCTCAGCAGCTGAGCTTAGACAGAAACCTGCCGGGAAGAAGACTTCTATAGCACCTTGCATGACCTTGGGGTATTGCAAAGTGCTTTAATCTCCGAGTTATTCTTAAAGTCAAGTTGTTGTCACAATGTAGGAAGCGCAGGAGCCAATTTGCGCACAGACAGTTCCCACAAACAGCAGTGAAATGAGCTTACTTTGTAATGTCATGGAGGGATAAACATTGACCAGGGCATCAGCGAGTACTTCCCTGCTGCCCTTCGAAACAGTGCCATGTGACTTCTTACACCCAAGAGGGGGTGGCAACTTGCTTTGATGTCTCACTTAAAAGATGAAGTCAGAAGTCACGCAGCACCAGCTTATAGTCCAACAGGTTTATTTGAAATCACAAGCTTTTGGAGCGCTGCTCCTTCATCACCTGAAAGTCTGTGATTTCTAATAAACCAGTTGGACTGTAACTTGGCATTGTGTGAGTCTGACTTTCTCCATGCCTGTCCATATCATTTGAAAGATGATAGCTCTGACAGTGCGGCGCTCCCTCAGTACTACAGGGAAGGGTTAGCCTGAATTATATGATCAAGTCTCCTGGCCTTGTTTGACAACACCAGCAGCAAAGGAAATGCACATTCTGCTTCATCTCTTGCTGCTTGTGGGATATCGATGATCAAGAACCACTGTCTGAGCAGTCGCACAAAGACCATCACTTTTCTCCTAGTGCTAACCCACTCTATGAAGTGTAAAGAATCATTTTCACAATAATGAGATGCTGTTGAAATGAAACTGTTGGGAAGTCGATCTCAGTGACTATCCATTTCCATTGTGTTGGAGCTGCACTATTTATGGTATTGGCTGGGTTGGTAATATCAGAGTTTGGGAAGGTGAGATTTCATGGTATGTTCCACAATTATCAGAGCCTGACTTGTTCCTTACCTGTATGTAGACTCTCCTCAGGCACACAGCATCTGTCTTGTTTCTGCACCATTCGTGGCTTTGCTTGGAGGTTTTCTGAACCAATCTCAATTCAGTCCTTTGCCCACCCTGCAGGTTTGAAGACAAAGAGGGCTACATGACCTTCATGGACAATTACCTGGAATCAAACTGGGATAACATGAAAATCTTCCTGACAAACATTTCCAACCCGGAGCCCAGCATCAACAATTCGGAGTTTGAAGGCTGCATTGACCTTGGCCTGGCTCTATCCATCCTGCACTCTCTTCTCTGTGACATTATGTATCGGTTGCAGCAGGTACTAGTTGTGACACATTGAGCTTGTTATTCTTTGCTCGGCTCTGACTGAGTCGTTGACTTTGAACCTGGTTTACTCAAAGTCCCTGAACCAACACTCTAACGTAGAGACAGGCTGTTAGAATGACCCTTGGATGTCTCTTCCTAGTCCTTCAAGAAATGGGTTTGAGGTAGTTTTAGCCCAGTTAGCTCTTAATGGGAGACAACAAGGTGCAGGGCTGGATGAACACAGCAGGCCAAGCAGCATCATAGTTGCAGAAAGGCTGACATTTCGGGCCTAGACCCTTCATCAGAAAAGGGACAATGCTTCTTACTTGCTTACCAATACAATGAGATTCCTGTCTGTCCATGGAACTGATCCTGGTCCTAGTTGACCAGGGCCAAATTCCTTTCATTCAGAAGGGGTGAGGAGCTGAATTTTGGGCACCTGTCCTGGCACTTTTTGGCTTCTGATGAGCTGTTTCCTCCTGGAATGAGAGAAAGGGAGGGATTAAGTGGGGGGAAATTGGGTGACACAATTGTTAGTGCTAGTGTAGATTGGTGAGATGTCTCAAATGAGTGAGTAGGCAGCATAGAGCCATGCAGGATTAGTATGTGGGGAGTTGAAATGTTCAGAGCAAGTGAGGTAAGCTGTTGCATGCATCAAGGGGAATGTCTGGGACAAATATCATGGACCATGTGGG